ATGGTTTGAGCTGGGAGGGACCTTAAAGGTCATCTAGTTCCAAACTGCCTGCCAGGGGCAGGGACACCCGTAACGTGTCAGAGGTAATCAAAAAGACATCAAGTACATACATTTATTGGCACTGAAACCCATATTTAAGGGGCATCTTTTGAACAGACAACTGATGATTTCAAATTTTTCAAATATTTGACGACAAAAAAACACATGGACTTCTTTTTTGGTTTGATGTTTGGATGAAAATAAGTTCAGGCATTTCCAGGAACACAAGTTTGTGGAAAATAGGTAATATCAGCCAAGAAATGCTTTTAGTGGGCCTGTGCTATCACTACGTATAAGCAAAGACTACGAATTCTATACCACTAAGTATAAGCAAAGACTACGAATTCGATTTCGAGGGGCAATCTTAAATGTGACATTTTAATTCAGCCATAGTATTCGTTTAATATCTTAGCTTTTTCACCAAACTGTACACAATTACATAACAGCACAAGGAAAATTAGTCTGTTCCTGACCACATCAAACAATTACACTAAATACTGTCCTGACTTCTAAGCATGGAGAATATTATTCCAGGTACCAAGTCTGCACTGGCAAAAAAGCAGAGAAGAACAGAAAACACCAACGTTTGGGGCAAGAGGCAGCACGTGTAGCAGTAAGAAAGTAATGTAAAAAATTTAAAAATAAAAATAGCAAGTGATGATTTTTTTCTGTGCTTGGTTCAAACCTCCTCCATACAGCAGGTCCGTGTACAGAAACCTCCCAATGAAGAAACAGTAACAGAAAACTTCAGCCTTGTGATCAATTTTAAAGCATAGCTCAAGATGATGACAACATTTTGCCAGCACTAAATGAGGAAAAAAAGCTCTGAGACAGCACCACAGACTGCAAGGGATATATTCCAAATCACCTGCATGACAGGTAACTGCAGAGATACCAGAAGTCCTCCCAACACTCCAGAAGCTGAGCATCAAGTCCTATGGGTCTCCCATCCAACAGAACCTATCACCCTCTGTGTAAAATCCACTGCCAATGTACTTGACCACATGAAAGTTCAGACTAACAATCCAGGCAAAGCCTGTGACAATATCTTTTTTAAAATATTAAGGGAGTATCAGTATTTTAAAATCACTCTCTGCAATGCAGCTCTTCAGTCCTATCTGCACACAAGAGTATTGAGAGTTATACATGGACTGATGCACAGCTGAGCTGCTGAAAGTTATTTCCCAGATCTAGTCTGTCCTACTACTCTTTTTTTTATTATTTTTTTTTAAAGTACTACTTTACTGATTAGCAGATCCTTCTTTTGTTTGTTTTTAACTGACTAACCCCTGCTTGGATCAATCAGCTTCCTAAGAAAACGTTCCTCTGTCCTGCTGCTGTTGGACATTCTGTCCAGTAATGCAATAACCAGACAGACCTCAAATGTGGCCTCCAACCCCCTGCCAAAGCAGGGCCACCCAGAGCAGGTCCCACAGGAACGTGTCCAGGTGGGGTTTGAATGTCTCCAGAGAAGGAGACTCCACCACCTCCCTGGGCAGCCTCTGCCAGGGCTCTGCCACCCTCAAAGCAAAGAAGGTCCTCCTCATGTTGAGGTAGAACTTCTTCTCTTCAAGCTTGTGCCCATTTCTTCTTGTCCTGTCCCTGGGCACCACTGAAAAAAGACCAGCCCCGTCCTCTTGACACCCTCCCTTGAAGTATTTATCAGCATTGATCAGATCCCCCCTCAGCCTTCTCTTCTCCAGACTCAAAAGACCCAAGTCCCTCAGCCTCTTCTCGTAAGAGAGATGCTCCAGGCCCCTCATCATCTTTGTACCCTCTGCTGGACCCTCTCCAGCAGTTCCCTGTCCTTCCTGAACTGGGGAGCCCAGAACTGGACCCAGTGCTCCAGATGGGGCCTCCCCGGGGCAGAGCAGAGGGGCAGGATGACCTCCCTCCACCTGCTGCTCACAGGTGGATGCCCCCCAGGATGCCATTGGCCTTCTTGGCCACCAGGGCCCATTGCTGGCTCATGGTCATCCTATTGTCCACCAGGACTCCTAGGTCCTTCTCCTCAGAGCTGCTCTCCAGCAGGTCACCCCCACCTGTCCTGGTGCTGGGGGTTATTCCTCACTGACCCTCCTCTCACACCGAAACCTTAGCCAACCCCTTTCTATATCCTCAGACACCCAAAGTGGGCACCAGACAGCAGGTAGGGAGGTATGAACAGGATGGCTGGCTGCCATGCAGAGCATAAAGCTCTTCAGTCCAGCCTGTCTTCACCTGCTCGCCCCAGCAAGTTATGAAGATGCTTCAAATCTGTTATGCTTCCAGCCAGCTATAGGGTTAATACATAATTAAGATATCAATCCTTGCTTTATCTATGGGAAGAGTGGCATGCAAAGATAAGCAGGTCAAGAACTTGCTTAAAATTAAAGAAGGATCAGTGTACCACTCCAGCTGCACAAGAGGGGAAATGAAGGTACTCAAGTGGGCAATGATAGAGAAACAGGTAAAACTTCCCTTGGATATAACTCTTTTATATATTAGGAGAGCACTAATTATTTTAAGACTTAACCACAGTAGATCTCTTGCGCTGTGCTAACCAGACATCAACAACAGAAAAGTCTGGAATTTCTAGGCAACATGACAAAGACAACAAGAGAGGGGACAGAGTTTCCAACGATTCCCACCATATTATTTGAAAAATGTAAAAGCAGAGCTGTTTTCCAGCATTTCTAGTATAATTCACTTTTCTCTTTTAAAACGATTGGTGTGCAATAAAACCTCGGGCTAGCCAAGATACAGAGTGGCTACGACCACTGCCAGAGAGAGGGATACAGACAGAGTGGCTACGACCACTGCCAGAGAGAGATGTCTACCCTACAGTTTCATGTAAATCAAGCATTACATGTGCAGAGAGTCCTGAGTCATTTAAGTCATGTACAAGCTATTTCCCTCTGATCTGGCAAACTAAACCTACGCCAAAACGTGTAAATTCCATGTTATAAACTTTTTATCAGCACGTATCTCTGAGTATGTTTTCAAAAACTTACTTCTCTGGAGCAATCAAGTAATTCTTATCTGTGTTTATATGTTCTTAAAAGCAGAGATCTCTTACTTAAACATCTTACCGCTGGTTTATTGACTCAGTCCAGCACTTTTCTTCCCTAAATTATGGAATACGTTGAAAAAACAAAAAAACACTCCCTGCACCCAGTCATCTAAATTAAATAGCAAAATGGAAAATACAAACCAACCAGAAATAATTTTCTCCTATGAGCTCTTGCAGTGACAATGCCAGCTCTGTGCCTCTCGAGGGGTAGGTTACAACTTGAAAAAGAGCCTGATAAAAATTGTGGTTTCAGACATTTCAGGTCCCCAGCAAAACTAATATAGCATTCCACACAAGATCTCCAAGGATCTCTGCTCTTTGGCACCACTGTAAAGCCACAAGGCTTTTTATTTTATTTTTTTCCCCTCTCCCCTTTTTTGAACATTGAACAAGTAGCATCCACAGCTGGAAGGAAAATCCTTCTCCCTCTTCCCCTAATACAGGGAACGCGTGTCGCAAAAACAGCACTGGTGAGGCCTCACCTCGAGGGCTGGGTTCAGTTCTGGGCCCCTCACCACAAGAAGGACATTGAGGTACTGGAGTGTGTCCAGAGAAGAGCCACCAAGCTGGTGAGGGGTCTGGAGAACAAGTCCTATGAGGAGAGGTTGAGGGAACTGGGCATGTTCAGTTTGGAGAAGAGGAGGCTGAGGGGAGACCTCCTTGCCCTCTACAGCTCCCTGAAAGGAGGGTGGAGAGAGGTGGGGGTTGGCCTCTTCTCCCAAGGGAATCATGACAGGAGCAGAGGAAATGGTCTGAAGTTGGGGCAGGGGAGGTTTAGATGAGATATCAGGAAGAATGACTTTGCTGAGAGGGTGGTCGGGCACTGGAACAGCCTGCCCAGGGAGGTGGTGGAGTCACCATCCCTGGAGGGATTTGAGAAGCGTGTAGAGGTGGAACTTCAGGGCATGTTCTAGTGCCTGGGATTGTAGGTATTTTTTTTGTGTGTGTGTATGGTTGGACTCGATGATCTCAAAGGTCCCTTCCAACCATGAAGATTGTGATTCTGTGAAAACACAGGGAATCACATCTTGACTTGAAGCATAAGATAACTGTTAGTATCTAAGAGAAGACTCTTGAATAGCAGGGTGACCGAGTTCCTTCTTGTGGTTGCCCATCCTACCTGTGTGTTGTGTACCCTACAGGAACACAAGTCTGCTCAGATGGTTTTGTCAGTACAAGCTGGAAGTGTCTGCATGAATCATAAATGCAAAAGGCAGTCGGTGCTTTATGGACGTCATCCCAACCGTGCTGACAAGACTCCCACACCAACACTACACCATTAGGAGTTTTGATCTGCTGCGCGTTTTACGAGATAAATTGTCTTCAGTGTTCTTCCTTAATGCAAATTTTTAAATCCACTTAAGCTGCACGGACAACTACTTCAGCGAACAATAAACTTCTTTCTTTAGAGCTCACAAGGAGCTATAAACTACTTCCATAAATGAACTAAAATATCTTCCTACAGAACAATCTTTCTATTGAGAAGTCCAAAATCATGCATCCTTCTCCAGGTGGAAAGAAGTGCTGTGGATCCCACCAGGAAGCGACAAAAATCCCTTTTAAATGATACATCTCCTATTTTTTCAAAGTATTAGACCTAACAGATCAGTCATAAGGCAGCACCGATTCTTCACGTATGTCAATTTCCGTGAAATTACGTAGGGTTTTGGCAAGTATAAGGTAACAAACATAAAAAGATAGATGTTGAAGGTTACTCAGAAACTTAGAATCTCTTGTGGAGGACAGATCAGCAGTTAGGGCGTAAAACGTTACACATCAGCGGTTATTTGGATTTGTAAATTATTAATAGATGTCAGCCCCATCCCAGTAGTACATGACAATTGCCTACAGCGACTGGAAAGGCAGCCTTTCCCTTTTTTTTTTTTTCCCTGGCATGGTATTGTCTTACCTGAATTGGGTGAGATGTGTAAACTGCTCATGTCCTTGGAGAGGCCGTTAGTTTTGGGGCTGGAAATGGGCGCGCACGCTGACGTAGCTCGGGGTGGCCTCTTCCCAGGGACTTTCACAGTGGTTCTCAGCAAGTCGATTTCTTTCCCGTGAACGTTCTGCATATAGTCCTGGTAAGAGGGAAAAAAAAACAAAAACAAAAACAAAACCCAAACCCAATATCAAACAGGTAGTTCTGTAAGCAATAAAACGAATGAAACCTGGTTTTATTAAGACTTTTGCCCTACGCCATCTGCCAGCACCCACGGTGTAGTTTTCCCCCTTTCTTCTGAACGTTCTGCATATAGTCCTGGTAAGAGGGAAAAAAAAACAAAAACAAAAACAAAACCCAAACCCAATATCAAACAGGTAGTTCTGTAAGCAATAAAACGAATGAAACCTGGTTTTATTAAGACTTTTGCCCTACGCCATCTGCCAGCACCCACGGTGTAGTTTTCCCCCTTTCTTCTGTTTTTTGATAGTCCCTTCCACACTTCTCACAACAAATACTCCCAAAATTCTGGGGCTTTCTACCACATCCTCCAACTACCAGAGCAATAGAACTAACGAAACCTGGTTTTATTAAGACTTTTGCCCTACACCATCTGCCAGCACCCAAGATGTAGTTTTCCCCCTTTCTTCCGTTTTTCGATAGTCCCTTCCACACTTCTCACAACAAATACTCCCAAAATTCTGGGGCTTTCTACCACATCCTCCAACTACCAGTTGGATAAGAGGCAATTCACAAAGCGGCTGGTTCTGAGCCACATTGGAGGAGTTCACCAGCCAGCAGGTCCCAAAAAGGAGAAGACAAGGTGACTGTCCCTCATGAGCACACCTACCCATGTCTCTTCTCTGCCAATGTCTTATGCACTTATCTATTTCTCCTTCAAATTTGGCTGAAATTGGTCAGCAGACACAAAAGTTATGGAAAGCCACTGACTGGTTAAGGTTTCTGCAGTTACAACACTGTTTCCTTAGAACATGACCCTTCCTCCAGACATAGAAAAAGTCACAGAAGGAAGAAAATTTAGGCAGATTGTGACTGATGAGCGTAAACCCACTAAAAGCTGGAAGTCAGAGGCAGAAAAGGCTTTTTCCTAATTCTTTTCTGGAGAGCCCACAAAAAGGAAATAAGCAGACAAACCCAGTCAGCTGTGGAAAGACAGTGAATGGTCAACTGACTGGAGCCAAGGCACCGCTTCCCGAGAAATCCATGAGAAATTCTTCAAACTGTAAATAGTTTCTGGAAAAACAGGCTCTTGAGAACCTCCTTTCCAGCTTCAAAGGGATTGCCCCTAGATGGTCTGTGGGCTTCTTCAGATGACAACAGAAAAGCAAGTGGACAGGGGTGTCTTTATCAGAGGGAAATAACAATTCACTAAGGTGAGACAGCCACTGAGGCTGGGATACATCAGAAGAGATATTTCCAGTAGGGATGGTGAATGTTAAAGCCAGTAGACAAAACATGACAGTTGTCACCTCCTGGTACACATGGTTGTGGTGACTTGCATTCCAGAAAAAAATAATTGAAATTATGAAGACACTAAAAGAAACAGACTGTGTTTTATGAGAAGAAATGCAAGGTGGGTAGCAGAGGATACCAAAGTAAAGAGAGGTAAGAGCATTGCACAAAAATACATCTGGGTGTATGTACCCCAGGAGGAAAACAGCAATTTGAACTAAAGATTGGGAAAGATCTGGGCTCAAGCTGGAGAGTTGAGCTGGAAACCAAGGAATGGTATTCTTGGGTGATCTATGCAGAGCAGCTGGGGGACAAGATCTAATTCCTTTTCAGATAGAACTTGATCAACTAATGAGCCCTGGGTGATGCTGTGAACGTCTGCATGAGCACAGACTGCCAGGGAAGACAGAAATCCCAGTTGCCCAATTGTCTAGGGCAAGATTTAGCCAGATTACAAGGTGTTATATGAAAGACTACCAATGTTTACCTAGGTTGGTTCCGAATCCGCACCATACAGACCTGTACACCACCAGAGCATTAATTTTCCAAGTAAATACCTAAATGACCTAAAAGCATACCCGAGGTCCACATCGCTGCTGCCACAATATGGGGACCCCCAAAACTAAGCCATCAAACCAGCTTATTTTTCCCTAGCTGTTGGAGAATTATTAACAGTAAAAAGGGGGATCTGAACAATTCACAGAGCTCTGCTGCCAAAAGAAACCAAGGCCATTCATTAATAAAAATTCATTCACTAGGTGTTAGAAACGAACAAGACAGTTTCATCCATAAATTATCAAGTTGGCGTAACTTTCTTGTTCGGTGTCAGCTCTTCCCAAATTAAAATACAATAAGCAGAACATAATTGAGCATGTATTGCTTATGGGCTCTAAAATGAAGCTTAATCAGAAAGCGACTAAACCTCAGCATGGACTCTTTTTAATAGATATGTTTTATTTCACATGAAACAACCACCGTACTCCCGTTTAAATCTGAGAAGGAGAAGTTTATTCCCAATTCTTCCCCTGAACAGAGTGCACAATTTCCCCGCCGCACTGCCAACTTGTGAGATGTGACAGGGCATTATTAAAGCCCTTTTAATTGAGAGCAAACCAGGCTTAGGTGAGCTATAAACCATCGGGGAGAGTGAGTGAACGTTGGGAAACAGGAAATAAATGCGCCGTAGCCCTACCATTATTAGATGAAAGTGCCCAAACACAACAGATGCCACAAAGGTATTAACGTCAGCTTAAATATTTATGGGGATATATCAAATGTAAATAATAAAGCCTCTTTTCAGCGTGCATAGCGATAATCTCTGCATTTCCCCGAGGAGGAGAGGCGAGCACCAAGTTTCCAGTCGGCGGAGCATCCGCCCCCAACACGTGCTCCCTTCAGATCTGCACTCGGGGAATAAAAGTTAAAACTACAAAATAACGTGGCGGCTTCAGAAGCTCAACGGAGGGTTTGATCAGATTAGAACAGATGAGGGTCTTGCTGTCATCTGGAATATGAAGTTTATTCCAAATTCTTCCCCTGAACAGAGTGCACAATTTCCCCGCCGCACTGTCAACTTGTGAGATGTGACAGGGCATTATTAAAGCCCTTTTAATTGAGAGCAAACCAGGCTTAGGTGAGCTATAAACCATCGGGGAGAGTGAGTGAACGTTGGGAAACAGGAAATAAATGCGCCGCAGCCCTACCATTATTAGATGAAAGTGCCCAAACACAACAGATGCCACAAAGGTATTAACGTCAGCTTAAATATTTATGGGGATATATCAAATGTAAATAATAAAGCCTCTTTTCAGCGTGCATAGCGATAATCTCTGCATTTCCCCGAGGAGGAGAGGCGAGCACCAAGTTTCCAGTCGGCGGAGCATCCGCCCCCAACACGTGCTCCCTTCAGATCTGCACTCGGGGAATAAAAGTTAAAACTACAAAATAACGTGGCGGCTTCAGAAGCTCAACGGAGGGTTTGATCAGATTAGAACAGATGAGGGTCTTGCTGTCATCTGGAATATGCTGTGTTAAAGAGAAGACAAGCAAGCCCGATTTTGATATGCAAATGTTACAGATATAACTCCCCTAGATGTTAGTTGTAGAAAATGCTGATCCGAGAAAAAAGGGGGAAAAAAACCCTTTAACAAGGCATGAGGGTAATTCAAAGCCAAGTACTTTTAAACAGCACTTAACAAGTCCCTAGAGCCCACTCAACAGTGGGCCACCCCAGAAGTGCCATCTTCTGCCCCTCAACAGCTTGAAAAAGTAGTAATTGCAAATCCATTTGCATTTTTCTTCTCAACTTGTCCATGTTCATCATTCAGCAACACGGGGGAAAAAAAAAAAAAGGGGAAAAAAAAAAAAAGCAGCAAGCAGTAAAGGAAAGGGAACCCTCCCCAAACGTGAGGATAAGAGGAGAAGCCAGCCCCCCCATCCCCGCGCTTGCACCTTCGCCACCGCTTGTTTTTTACATTTCCCTCCTAATTATGTTGCATCTATTGCCATACACTTAATTAGCTGCATTAATGTGATTTCTTTTCACATAGTCAAGCAATTAAGAGCTATGATTGAGTTTCATTCAATTAGCCTCAACAAACATGCTAATTGATGTCCCAGATGCAAATGAGGTGCAATGAGAGAAACCTGCTAGCGATTTGAGAGCCGCGGCGGGGAAGGGACCCGCGGCTCGCAGCTTGCTGACAGCAGCACAGCTTTAACGTGGCTCCCACCTTCTGTGGAGGGAGGTTGGTGGTGGGGAAACAAGACATTAGTGCCCCGGTTGTAACCCCAGTAGATGCCTCCAGGAAGAACGGGAGGGCGTCGAATCCAATCGACGTCGTCTCCGATCCTCACGCCGGTAGGATTTAGGGAAGAGCGTGGTGTTTTCCTGCAGCTGGGAAGGAATTCCAGACCCTACCAACACCATGGTGTCTTCAGCTAAAGGGTCTAGAAAAGGTCTCTATCTCATCTCTGAGCTCCTCAAACACCACGCCGGCGATGGCCCGCCGTTATCAGTAACTGGCAAGTTAATCTTAGTCAGCTGCGGGGCGATGCCGCCTCTTCAAGTTAAGGCCAGAACGCATCAATCAATCAATAATCCCTAAAAAAATACGCCGGCTCTTATTGATTCTCATTGCTTTTCATCCCGAGGTTACCCTTAGCCGTTCGCTCAAATATAGGTGTTAATTTGACTACTCAAGGCCATTGACCATTATCTAGGGGACTAAATAAACTGTTAAAATATCAGCTGAAATCATAAAAGCTACATTGACTGAAGACGACACGAAATGTTATTTGACAGCGCCACAAAATGAATCGCCTTGAGTAAGAAAAAAAAACGATGTGCCATGACACAGAATAATGTAAAGTAAGATTACTTTAGTTCTGCTCTTACTACAGCTGTTTACAACAGCAGAAATTAATTTAACCAATTAACTGAACAGAAGCCTTTCAGACATGCAAATTGAGAAACGAGGAGGATGATGTTTTCTGAACAGACCTACCAAAAAGCAACTGCTATTTTTTTTTTGGGGGGGGGGGGCTCTTTTGTTTTCATTGTCAGCAGTTGTTAATTTTGCTGCCATACATCACAATGGCTTCTGATGGCTCTCAAAGCCAGAGAAGACACTCCACCAAGGGCCACAATCACCTCCATGGCTACCT